AAACCGCAAGGAACGAGGTACCCCTCAGAAATTGAACCTGAGATCTGAATATCACCAATCATGAGTATTGAAGAAGGATGTCCGAGAACAATCATCCAATTTCGATGCGGACGATGAAAGTTCGTAGTGATACCCTCGGATAGGATCAAACCCACTCGTAGGATTCATGAAAGTAACAAATAGGATATACCATTCTTGCTAGGATCAGTTCATCATCGTCATTACAAAATGACTTACTTATCTACCCTCGTAGTAAGAAGGAAACCAAGGAGAGCAGCTACAATAAACCACAGAAACAATATGATCAGAGAAGTATTACCCGAAGTTCTCTAGATACGAGTTTTGGAATTGAGGAGTTCAATTCTCAAGACACGTCGTTACCAAGGTGGAAATTCATAAGGACCCTTTCAATTGATCAAAACCGTTGAGAAACAGTCAGCACCGAAGGCGTTAGCAGAAATACGCCAAAATTCTGGGTCTCGCTGATCTACCGTCTTAGTACTTTTGGAACTTCTCGAAAAATACGGACCCCCTCCCAACTTTGACCCTAAAGGGAGCAACCCTTGACAGGAAGAGAAGCAAGAAGAAGAAACCTTTAGAACTCCAGTATAACCGACCAAATTCCTCTAGAAACACTCACTCTGGGAAGGCTTAGTACGCTTCGGAAAGCATGGAAAGCCAATACCCCAAATAATTGTGTCTTTCGAGATTCGTGTCAGAATCAGCCTTGTAACTCACTACTTCAATCTACTCCCGCGAGCTTGGTAAAGTACACCCTACCCAACACGTCCCAAAATTTACAGGAAGTATCTATCCAACGAGACTCTAGCAATTCCCCTCGACGAGATCGAGTTCCACAAGAGCCTCACCTTCTTGGAAGAACCATGGTGACCATGGACCGAGGTCAAGCGGATGACACAACGCCACTTCCCATTAGTGAAAGTTCGCTGGAATACTAATCAAGGACCTAGAGTCACATGGGAGCGCGTGAGTCAGTCGATTAGGAAGTATCCTCACTTCTCGGCTTGATTATTCATGCCTACTCCTTGCCTAAATTCAAATTTCGGGACGAAATTCCCTTTAACGGGGGGATGATATGACAACCGTCAAATTTCGGTCAAGACAGAGTCAACCGAAGTCAACAAGTCAAACCGTTTGACTCAATTTGCCCGTGGGTACTAGAATTTACATTATGAAACTTCAACATAACTCTCTATTCTAATGAGAAATCATAAAGCAAAACGTGCGAACACCCAGATCTCCTTAACCTAAAAACTGTGGTACGTGGCTAGCCAAACCGATAAAACGATGTTGCATACTCATCGGGAGTGTGTAAGATCCTTAAACAAGGCTTAACAGTGTTTACGGACCTTGCATTACGAAGCCAAACACTCAAAATTGCCACACATGGAACCTCTCTCAATCGTTTTCACTCTATCTCTCTCTATGAAAAATCTCTCCCAAATCTCTCTTAAATATCTCTAAGTATGAGAAATCTCTCCAAGAATGTCAAATCTCTCCCAAATCTCTCCAAGTATGTGAAATCTCTCTCAAATACCTCTCTGTATGAGAAATCTCTCCAAGAATGTCAAATCTCTCCCAAATCTCTCCAAGTATGTGAAATCTCTCTCAAATATCTCTTTGTATGAGAAATCTCTCCAAGAATGAGAAATCTCTCCCAAATCTCTCCAAGTATGTGAAATCTCTCCCAAATCTCCCTCAAATAGTTCCCGTAACTTTTTAGGATCATTCGGGTCATTCCGACCCTTAACCGGGTCAAAAACGGCTCAAAACGGGGCGAAAACGAGAAAAATAGGCTTTAGGAACCGAAACCAAGAAGAGAGGCCTCTTAGGACCAGAACTGAGCCTCTGTTGGCTAAGGCACAAGAGGACCGAGCCTCTGTTGGCTAAGGCACCCGAGGACCGAGCCTCTGTTGGTTAAGGCACGCGAGGACCGAGCCTCTGTTGGCTAAGGCACGCGAGGACCGAGCCTCTGTTGGCTAATGCACGCGAGGACCGAGCCTCTGCTCTGGGTCTCCCCTCTCGGTTCCCGGCTCTGCCTCTTGGTTCCCTTGCTTCCCTCTCTGTCTCTTCCCTACTCTCGGTCTCTACTCCTTCTCTCCTCTCTGCCTCCACCCGCCTCTCTGTTCTCTTCTTCCCTCTCGGTTCCTCTCTTCTCTCTTCTCCACTCTCAGTTACTGCTCTCTCCCTTCTCCCCTCTCGGTTTCTACCCTCCCTCCTCTTGGTTTCAGCATCAGAAGGCCGAACCTCGGCCAGATTTCGGAAATTTGTCACTTTTAGCCCATTTTTGATACTTTTAACATTTTAAGCCCGTTTTTCGTGATTTTAAAGCGGGATTTTCTCCAGAAATTACATTTTAACATAATAAACTCTAAATATTCATAATTTATACATATTTTTGATGAAAATCATTATTTAAATGATAAAAATCAAATGGGTGAATTATTAAAGGTGGAGTGTTGACTTTGCCTTATCCAATGTCACAAGCAACCACCCCACACCCACTCTATGACCAGCCATACCTCCCCACCTTACCTAGGTCACTTCAATGTCCCTCACACTCAATTTACACTCATTCCCATGTTTTTAGAGCTGGAACAAACATCCTCTCTCCTCATTTCTCTCATTTGCTCTCATTTCACTAAGTATCAAACACCACTTTTCTCTCAAACTTTTTCCACTCCAATTTCGAGATTCAAGGCTGATTTTCAAGTGTTCTTCCACTCTTAGTAAGTATAATTCATCCTCCTTATGATTATTTCACTTCATTCTACTCAAATCATGGATATCTTACACAAACTCCATCATATTTGCGTTAGAGCTTCGAATCTTCAAGTGATTCTTCAAGTGTTCTTGGGTTGAACACTTCTCTTCTTCAACACTTATCTACTGAAATCACTCAAGGTGAGTTCATACCCCTACATTTTCATGTTTTCTCAAGTTTTCAGGGGGGGGGGAATACAAGTTAAAACACTAAGAACATAACTAAAATTTTCTAACAGCCTTCATCAGAAAAGTTCAACTCCATTCACGGACTGTTTTGGGCATCTTAAGCATTTTTGTTTTCAAAACTGTACAAGGTGCAAATATTTCAAGTTTTTAGCTTTAAAATGACTACTTGCACATCTCCATACGATTTTTCTACAATTTATGGTGATTTTTACAAAACTGCCTACCATTTCAAACAACAATCCGGACCAGTCTGTGATTTTGGACTTATTCACCCAAGTTGGAGGTCATTAAAAATCGTGATAAAAATTATGAGTAAACTAGACACATTTTGTGAACTCTCAGAATTTACGGATCTAGTTTTCGACTTCGTATGAATTTTCTATGATTTTTCCAAAACAGTGCAGAATGGCTAAAGTTAGCCAACAGCATGTAAATAACATAACACTTTGTATTATGTTGAGCAAAGTGTATAATCATAAGTTCTAATTATTGAATGTGTTCCTTGTTAGTTTGTCATCATGAACTGAAACTAAGTCATTTATAATAAATATTATTCATTCATTTTAGAACACGTATATTAAACTATAAAAAGTATAGTTTAATAAATTCATAACACTAATACATTTCCATAAAAGAGTTCATACATATTACATACATTTTAGATAAACTATAATAGGTATAGTTTATGATACATCACTCAACACACTCGTACAAAAAGGGTACATTCATACAAGAAAGATTTATATTCACACACATTTCATGTAAACTTGTTAACCTATAGTTTGATAAATTCATAACACTAATACATTTCCATAAAAGAGTTCATACATATTACATACATTTTAGATAAACTATAATAGGTATAGTTTATGATACATCACTCAACACACTCGTACAAAAAGAGTACATTCATACAAGAAAGATTTATATTCACACACATTTCACGTAAACTTGTTATCCTATATTGTGAGACTCTCTCTCTCTCTCTCTCTCTCTCTCTCTCTCTCCCCGTACGTCCGAGTGCGGGATATAATTCCTGGTAGTTATAATCAGAATCTCCTTGAGGGAGAACGTGATACTTGTATATAGATCTATATTGGGTTTGACACCCCACACCTTGCTGCTAGCTACAGTGAGACCTACAGGTCTACGGGTGACAAATGTCATTTCAGTTTTCGCGACGCCTGAGAACGTCGTGGCAGGTTCACATAGTCATAGTATGATTATAGCGACTCACATAGGGATATAACAATCCATAAGTTTACGGGATTTTATTTTTAAAACCTAAATGAGTTTTATGTCGTTTTAAAATCACTTTTTTTCCTCTATGAGTACAGATATTACTCTACACTTTTGGTTTTGGTAGTTACGACTACACCTCATTTGAAACCACATTCATACCTTTAAGTATGGTCAATACTTGTTATTACTCGGTCCTCTAATTTAGGACTACATATACATAAAGTATTAACAAATATGAGAACATACAGAAATTTCATTTAATTCAAACGCGTCCATGTCCATTTAAGTACATAACATTTTCTATTAATAAGAAAGGTTACTTATACATTTTGGTCTTCAGTCATAAGACTACACTACACAGATTTTAAAGGAAAATATCGGATTTTATGGATACATATTCTAACGCTTTTATAAGGAAAACGATTTACTTCTCTAACGAAATCTCTTATGAACTCACCAACCTTTGTGTTCACACTTTTCAAAACTACTTGTATTCTCAGGAATTCAGTGAAAACAGGAAATCAACAACGTTTTGAGGATGGGATGATAAATCGTCAAACAGTTCATTTTGTATCATAATGTAATTGATGTGAATCATGTATACATGTGCTTTGATGTAACGTTTTCAATTATATTTGTGTTGGTTGTATTTACTTTGAGCACTATTATACTCATTGTTACTCTACATGAAGTCCTCCACCCCTGGACGTTTCCGCCATCCTTGGTTTGGGGGTGTGACATTCCCCTTCATGCACTTCCCTGAAAAGCTCATTCATTTTCTCAATCTACTCATTCAGCACCACACTATCAGGGAATTTTTCCAAACCATCCTTTAATGCAACCTCCATAGTACTTTTCTCTCTTAGAATTACCCCATAACTATGCCCTATAACAGCAACGTATGCCTGCAATACATGTAACTAATTATTAATTACATTACAAGAATATTTCACCAACTTTAATATGATAAATCTATAGACAATATAGTAGTATACCAGAATATGTAATTTATATTCTACCAGAATATACATTCAAATATTAATTACAGTAATTACATATTAAATAATTGTCTAAAAAGAAACATAATATTACCTCCTCATCTCCAAAATCCCTCTTAAAGCTGAGCATTTGTTGTTCTTCACCTCATGTTGTTCTTCACCTCCTGTTTCATCCCTCGTATCGACATCATCATGCTCATCTCCAAAATCCCTCTTAAAGTTGAGCATTTTTGTTCTTCACCTCCTGTTTCATCCCTCATATCAACATCATCATGCTTATCCCGAAACTGCCTCCCGAACCCTCCCAAACTGATTTCCAAGCGTTGAATCTCTAATAAATTACCACCATTAATATGCCCAATAAATGGAAGCCTTTTATCTAACTTGATAGAATACTTCATGTTATACACGTACACCAACTGAAAAAAAAACATTAACGTAATCAATACATCAATACCAAATCTATATTTTCATATAACACTATTTCAAACTTACAATCAGGAGTGTAATAGGACCACTATAGTAGCTTGATTTGTCACCCCTTTTGCATAGTTTTTTTCTTGATCCCAAACAATCTCGCATATATTTACACCAATTTAACTTTGAAAAGTCTTCTACCAACACCAACTTCCTTACCACTTTTATTTGATTTGTTCCCATCAAAATTGAGTCTATGAAGTTGTTTACAAAAAGGGTCAAAAAAATAAGCCTAAACATCAAACTATCCTTTGTTGTAGCCTGAATCCTTCTTAAATACTCCTCACTATTGAAATTATCACAACTATATTGTCCCCTCCATTCTTCCAGAATTTGATTTCCCTTATCACACAATGACAACTCATTGATGTCTTCTCCATCAATTGCCAACCCCAACATATCATGCATCGCTTGCTCTGTTATCTCAATAATAGAGTTTTCTAGGACAAGTCTTTTACTACGAACATCATACACATCTAAAAGATAGTGTTGGGTTTTCTATGCATCAAATACACTCTAAAACTAGGCAGCGGAAAAATCAAACAACGATATACCTAAGTGTACATGCATCCTATAGATATATGGCTTCATGCTAATTACATCAACCCTAGAAAACTAAAACATAAGTAAGAAAACATACCTCTTATGTAGCCCTTGATCTCCATGTTTGAGATCTTAATCCTCCATGAAGTTGCTTGGATGGAAGGACCCAAACCAGAATCCCTCTAATGGTATCACAACCAATGACACCAAAGAGAGGAATAAAAATAACTAGGAGAAGGGTCAATTTCACAAACCAAAAGGGATTACAAATCGTCCCTTAAGAGAGTAGGAAAAAGGGTTGGCGAATACTTCAAGCCAAGGTGCAAGGAGAAACGAAATCCCTAAGGCCCTATTTATAGCCTTGGATCCCTCCTTAGGTTTAGTACTCCTTCCCATGTGGGATGGAGGCCTAACCACGAAAGTTCACTCCTTTCCCATGTGGGATGGAGTGATTTTCATCCAACCCTAATTTCATAAGGTTCTGGAACATTCCTGAATAACCAACTATCGATTAATGAACATTCAACCCTTTAATTAATTAAACTGTTAATTAATTCCCAAAATATATTTCCAATTAGTTTCTAATTAAGTAGTAACCATAATAATTAATAAACTAATTTCCCCTTTATTTATTCTACTCAATTTCGGTCTTGAGGGAAACCCAAAAGGACCCTGCTATTATTAGAAACATTAACAATAGTTAACGACCTTGGACACTATTCCAACAGTCTCCCACTTGGATAAGTCATCAACTATATAAGGACTAATATTTTTCTAATAATCAACAGAGAGTTAGCCATGCAATGCAACTACCGAACTCTTGATCTAATCAAGATTCAGCCCTTAGATAAGTGATTAACTATCCCTTCGTTCTATGATATCTGTATGAATTCGAGACACGGATAATGGTCAATCTCAAGAATTCAAGATTATGTTTCCCTATATAGATTTGAGACGACTGCATCTGACTAGTAAATCGAACACATCAATTCCAGCTAGGGCTCGGCCAAGCACTTTAGATGTCAGCATCAAATCATCGAGGGGCCCATAGATATCGCTTCTCCTGTTAAGGCAGAAGGAGTGAATAAACTTTGACCACATAGTTTCTGTCTATTTAATCATGTCACATATGGACATACCCTTTATAACTACTAGTTACGGTTATCGTTGAAGTAGACCAATACATAACAAAATCATAGATCAAAACCCCACATGCATCTAGGTTTGAAGAATAGAAGATATTATCGTCTTACAATTACACATGACTGAATCCATGAAGTAATCTCTAAGCATGGGTTGGTCCAATACTTAAATCTCTATTAAGCACTCACGAGTATTAGCATAATCTCTATGCTATATCCAAACAATATGGACAATCCACTAATACTCACGATAGTATTGAATCACTACTTACTTCCTAGAGTATGACCGACTGTGGACGTTTGAGTAAATTAACACTCGGGAAGTGGGTTCCAAACATGCAAAAGTGAGAACGCAATGATAGGCTAATTGAAATGACTGAAATCCATCATATATTAAGATCACCACTTAATAATCGCCAAATCAAATTAAAACTTATACTGCTTAAAGTTCTCAGGTATTAAAACAAACCACACTAAGAGTGTTTAAGCCAATTCATTTGCAAATCTAATGCCTCTTGACTTTGTTTGACTGTCAGACTTAGTCAATGATATCAGCTTATGGAATGGATCGACAAGATTATCTTTCGATATGACATGTTGACTATGATGTCTTTACATTTGACTAACTATCAAATGTGTTGGAACTTACTGAGTATGTGTAATGTGAGCTTGTGTAAATTTGGGATCCATACTCGAGGTAAGTTCACTTCAAGTTACAAGAAACTTTATAAGGACCATCAATGATTGAATTTCAATAAAGATGTCACTAACGAATCTCTTTCAGTCACATTATCTTATTTGCAATTTAACCAACTGCAACATACTATAAGTTTGCAAAATCCACTATGGTGTAATACTTGGTACTCTTCCAAGCTAAAACTTCACCATTCAGAAAAGCACGAAATTCCGACTGCGAACAAAATTGCCTTTATTAGTATGGAACTTAGAATCAATGTAACTCTTATAATGATCTCTTCTATACTATCAAGATCATCTCTTCTATCCTCCAAGGACACTTAAGAATGTTCTTGATCTTGATTCATTGATTCTTCCCAAATTGATTAATCTAACTTGTCATGCTCAAGGCATACGAGTCATTAGATCTGGTACATCTCATGGCATATATGATCGATCCTATAGCAGAATCATATGGGACACGACTCATTTGCTTTAGCTCAATAGTAGAACTAGGACATTAGCATTGCTCAATGTCATGCCAACCTAAACTCCTTTTTTGAGTTTTGCATGTCGAGTTTCCTCAACATTCAATGTACTTTGGCTTAATCCAATGAATAACTTTGATCTATCTCCATGGATCCATATTATGTACGTGTTTTGTATCTCCTATGTATATCATAAAGAAACAATTCTTATACTAAGCCAAGATTTTACACTTGCTAAGTTAGAGTATAGTTTCTTATGAATCGCACATTATCTATGTACTATACAAGGATGACTACAGTGCTCCCACTAGTACTGACATATATATGGTTTATCTATGTTTCTCAAAATTCAAACTCCATGAAGTTTCTCATTGAAACAAAGATTCCAATTAATCTCACTAGCTTTGAAATATATATGGCTTATCTTTATTTCTCAAAATTCAAACTCTTTGAACTTTCTCACTATTTCTCAAAATTCAAACTCTTTGAACTTTCTCACTGAAATAATGATCCATCTTGCGAGATGCTAATCTCGGTCCATAGATGAACTTATTAAGCTTACACATCCTTAAAAACCTATCTTGGTTTAATTATGTGTTTGTTCCTATCCTTGATTATCTCTACTTAAATATCCACTTGCACCTAAGGGTTAAGGTCAAGTGCTAGGTCTACTAAATAACAACATACATGGATTGAATCTCGTTTTCCATGTCTTCCTTCCATGTTGTAGCCTTTAGGGCCTACTATAGCTTCCGATAATTGGTAAACTCTGATTGCTATCTACCAGTGACTCAAATACCTTATCAATATAAACTCTTATGTAACTAGGTCCATGACGTCTTCTATCAGATCTATAAGGAAAAATAGAAATATGTTAGTTTCCTTAATAGCCCTTTCAATTCCAAATTGAATGCTATGTCCAACTTTAGGCTCTTTATTGGTTGACTCTTGAATCTTATCAAGCTCAATGTGGCTCCTACTAGCCCTTTTGGAAATCAGCTCCCTGTCTTGGAAGACTACCCTTTGAGCAACATACACTTTGTTCTCAAAAGGTTGTTAAACAATTATCCAAAATGCTTAATGGGTTCACCAACAAGATAACACATCTCTATGCAAAGTCCTAGATTATTGAGCGCTTCATAAAAGCGTAAGCCTCATAATCGTAGACTTACATATATGGCAATGAGGATAGAATCCCACTTCACATATCGTAGTGTTTCAAGAACCTACTTTGTTGGCACAAGACCAAAGGACTTATTGTAACATTATTCATGGTACAATCCACGAACTGTTAGCAAGCACAATGCAACTCATCTAGTACAAAATCAATGAATGATTTGTTTCTCTATCCAACTAACACTTCCTAGTGGTAGTGTTTTGGGCAGAGATAGATCATGAAACTCTTTCACAATCACTTCGATGATCGATAAAGTTGGACTGAAATTCTCACTATGAGTATCTCATTCTATTGCCCAATTGATTCTTAACTTTGCTATATAAGAGCTCTGAACACCTGAGAGGTTCTAGACTCATATTCATACGAAGTTGGTCTCACTATGTATCGTGGTTATTCTGAACGGTCCATTAGTGTGAACTAATTCCAATAGATACTCGCATCAGCTAGTAATGCATTCATCATCTATCTTGATAAACAAGATTTGCATTTATCATAAGACTTGAGGCCAAATGATATCCAAAATCCGATCCAACTAGATACTTGGTAATGCATTTATTATTTATGTATCCAAGACTATGATGCCAAAAATACATTTCACCCAAACCTTTGGATGTATTTGAATAAGTACATATTGTGATTAATCTGAACGATTCGTTCACAATAAAACACCTTATTCAAATATTTGAATCAACTTTGAACTTTTGTTACTATACTAATCTCATAGTATAAACAGTTTCAAATTATAACATGATAGACTAAACATTTTGAAAATAGTTTTCTTTTGATCCTATGAATGGAGAAAGGGCTTTGCATTCATGATCAAATTATCTTCTCCATGTTTTAGTCTTCTCACTTCATTTAGTGACTGCACATTCTTGCAAATGTCAACACTAATCCTTAGCAACACACTCAAGGTTTAGAAGTAATGTTTTGATGGCATTATAAATCCATATATTTGTTTGAATAACAAACATGGAAGAACTTGTTATCTTTTGATCCTAAGGAAAGTAGCATGGGCTCGTGATCCATGATCAAATTTAACTTCTTCTTGTTTCATTCCTTTCACCTCAAATATACATTTGGGCAAGTTTGCTTTCTTAGTCCTTTTCTTGTTATGGAAACGAATAGCTATCAGAACATGTCTTAGAATAAGCCTTTCTTTGTCCTAGGTATTAGGACCTATATTAGGTATACTAATCGCCTTTTACACCATGGGCAATTGACTTTCTTCTTCTTGACACTTCTATTCGTGATAGTAAAATATGGGAGTGTTTAGAAGTATGAGTTTCTATGATTGGCCATGTTAGTTCCAAAAGGAAACTTCAACATGTTACATAACTCCTTAATGTATATTCCAAGTTGTTCATATCAAAATCAAAGTGT